ATAACACTAAAAATACTGTGTTTTGTGAGACAATTTAAGAATTTCATGCTGTTTCTGAGATTTAATTACATGGTCCTTACCCTTAGCTTATTAAAAAATTTCACATAATTTATTTTTGATCCTTATTTATTAAAAGTAGAGTACGTGTAAATATTATACTCTAGAAAAAAACTGATAATCCTGTTGGGCCTCATGTACGCATTAAACAATAATACTTTACAGGCGGGATTTTGTGTGCCACAGAGGAGAACTCACTGAAGTAAGAGCACACGGGGAAAAAGAGAGCACGTGTTTTTCCAAGATGTCTGGTTTTTGTAGGTTTGAAGCTTCTTTTTAAATGTAGTCTTTATTTCAGATCGAGATCTAATTAAAGAATCACTTGTCAACAGGCATCTGTGCATCTTAGCACATGCAAATTATAGAGACCAATATTGCTGCACATAATTCGTTTAAGGAACTGTAGTTTGAGTTTTGCAAATAGAAATAAAGATGAAGGATATTTAAATATGTCACAGAGTATATTTCATAGTAGGCTTATAATCCATTTAAAATGACCGTACCAATAGAAGATTCAGTTGCGTCATCACTCACAGTAGGCTTGGGTGATGAGTTTGACCATAATTCTGGGGTCTGCGTCTGAGCTTCTTTCTTTCCATTTTAAATACAAGTGCCATGCAAAATTAGAAATCGGTAACAAAATCAAGAATTAAATCATACTCATTTTAGCTAGTATATTTATTGTAGCTCAGATTAATGATAAATTTCTATTTTTATGTTTTTAATAGTCCTTTGGAATTTCTAATATACAGTATGTAACGTACACATAATTTTGTGTTCTTTGTTTTTTTTTAATTAAATTATAGCTGTGTACATTAATGCAATCACAGGGTACAGTATGGTGTTTTCATATACAATTTGAAATACTCTCATCAAACTGGTTAGCGTAGCCTTCATGTCATTTTTTGTGTTCTTAAATAGAATTAAATCAGTCAAGGACTCTGAAGAAAATTCATTATTCTTAGCTGACTGCAGAGGATTACAAGCTGTATGCAAATGAAGGAAATGTATATCTTTCACGTTAGCTTATTTGCCTATTGTTTAGCTGACTTTCTTTCTGTCAGTGTCTTAGAATTACCTCCAGGAGTAAACTATAGCTGTGTTCAAAGTCTTTCTAGCCATAATTTAATATTCTTAGAAATCTTGTTACTGATGAATCGTTAAGTACATCCCATGGGAATTATGGAGGGCGTTCAATACCTGACCGAAAATCGTTTTGGTATCTAATAAACTATAAATTTAAATGGTACTATCTCATAAAACTAAATATGCAGCTATAACCTTTTGTAATGATTTAAACTTTAGGACAATACAGTGAAATCCGGGGTACTGCGAAAAACTTCTAGTGCTAAAAGAAAACCAGAGATCACCAGTCAAAGCTGTCATTTTCCCTGTGAAGAGACCAATCCAAACCAGCCAAGCTAACTAACAACCTCCCTACGACTTCAGCTAATTAACTGCAGAGCTAAGACCGGAACTTGTCTTTTCTGATTCCCAGTGGAAAATATTCTCCTTTCATAAATCTTTTATTTATAGAAATTCTATTAAAAAATACAAAATTACGGGCAAGTTACACACTATATATCAGAAATTCCAAATGACTGTTAAAAACATAAAAATAGAAACATATCATAAATCTGAGCTAAAATAAATATACTAGCAATAATGAGTATGATTTGGCTCGGCGCCTGTAGCTCAGCGGCTCGGGTGCCAGCCACATACACCAGAGCTGGCAAGTTCAAACTCAGCCCAGGCCTGCCAAAGAACAATGACAACTACAACCAAAAATTAGCTGGGCATTGTGGCGACACCTGTCATCCAGCTAGTTGGGAGGCTGAGGCAAGAGAATCACTTAAGCCCAAGGGTTGGAGGTTGCTGTGAGCTATGATGCCCCAGCACTCTAATGAGAGCAACATAGACTCTGTCTCAAAAATAAATGACTCTGATTTAATTCTTGATTTTTGTTACTGATCTTAATTATGCATTCTGAGAAAGGCTCTTAATGACTGACTTAGATAAATTTTGATATGTTGAATTTCATTCACTCAGGTTAATATGAGTTTTCATATCATACCTTTATTACTTAGAATGCTTGAAAATTGCTATAGTACTATCTAAGTGATTGAAGTTTTAAAGAATTTGATTGCAAGACTCAAAGCATCTTCTGTAAACCAACAGTGTCAGCATCAGTGAGGAATTTATCAGAAATGCAAAGTCTCATCTGCCCCTTTGCTAAACTTAGATCTGTTGAACCACAGTCTGTGCATTTACAAGGCCCTGGGTGATTCTGTGCACACCAAGATTGGAGAAGTTCTTATTTAGAGAGTTAGAAATCTCAGAATCTGGTTGTGTTTGTTGTCATTACCCTGTCTCTTTCTTCCTCACCTTTCTTTCTTCACCCC